ACAGAGGTGGTTAGGGTGTGGACAGCGTTGGTTAAGGTGTGGGCAGAGGTGGTTAAGGTGTGGACAGAGGCGGTTAGGGTGTGGACAGAGGTAAATGGTAAATGGTAAATGGACAGTACATATATAGCGCCTTTCTATCTTACTTCAAGATACTCAAAGCGCTTTACACTACAATCTGTGCCTCATTAACCCATTCATACAGCTCTCTACTAGATCTCTACAGAGCTAATTGAACAAATCATTCCAAGGAGACTAATCAGTGCTTTAGATCACATTCATACACTGATGGGACACACATCAGATGCTATTTGGGGTTCAGTGTCTTGCCCAGGGACACTTCAGCATGTGACTGCTGGTGGATTCGAACACCCAACTCTTGCATTTGAGGTCGACTGCTCTAACCACTCAGCCACAGCTGCCCTAGGTGGTTAGGGTGTGGATAGAGGTGGTTAGGGTGTGGACAGAGGTGGTTAGGGTGTGGAAAGATGTGGGTACAGTGTGGACACATGGGGTACAATGTGGATTGGGGTATAGTGTGGACAGAGGTAGTTAAGGTGTGGACAGATGTGGGTGTGGTCAGGACAGGGGTAGTTAAAATGTGGACAGAGGTAGGTACAGTGTGGACAGAGGGGTACGGTGAGGACAGAGGTAGTAGGGTATGGTCAGAGATATGTAAAGTGTAGACAAAGATGGGTATGGTGTGTTCAAAGATTAGTACAGGATTCATTGAGCTTCAGGACTGAATCGATTCGAGGTGGTGTCAAAATACCTGTTAGTGTTCCAATGACAGCAACCTTACTGTTCAAATAAAACAACCTACTGTAGCACAGGTTAGTGTGAGTCTTTGCCATGAAACCTATGAGGGCCCAATGAGCCTTGGCTGCTGCCGAGCTTGGCTGATTCCAGCCTGCCAAATTTACAGTGATCCTCCTCCACAAGGGCCCAGCACCTGTGGGGAAATGCATAAAGGTCTGTGTTACACACACTTTGAGCAGGGTGACTGGTGTGGGGAGGCTGATTCTTGGGGTCATGACTCATGAACTTACCTGCGTGATGAAATACCTTTTCACCTGCATCTTCTCATGCTTCTGATGGAGTGTCCTCCTCCACAGCAGGGCTGACTATGATGCTGCAGGACCAGAAACCTCCTATAAAGACGAACATCCTTCAGGTCATGGAAACATGCCCCTGCAGAGTTAACACCTGAGATGTTAGTGTCATGCTAGCATGGCCAAATCTTCCAGTGTGTAGCTGCATCTTAACACAATGTCATGTGGTAGTATCGTCATGGCAACATAAAACTGGAGAGCAAGTTAAATTAACAGTAAAACTTGTGGATCTGTGAATTCATAGTTTCTTTAAGCTGTGACACAGTTTAAGACTCAAAAATATGAGAACATTTGGGAATTTTCTGTTGCAGTCTCACTGATTTCAGAGTATTTGCAACAGAGAGACATAAGGCCATATTTTGCATGAATATTATTTATATCGGCTTAGTTTAGTTTGAAATGGACAGTATGACCTCAGGTGTCCACCTGCCTGTAGTTTGTCAGATGGAGGAGAGTCAGGACCACAGACTGTCCTCTTGCAGTCTGCAGTGGGTGTGACTGTGTCACTCCCCATCACTGTGGGAGGTGCTTTGGAGCCAACGCAAACACAAACCAGCAGCGGTTTGTTGACTGAGTCCAGGGACTTACTGGAACCAGTGGCAGAGCTGTGGTTTAGCGCTCTGCTGCCAGCTGACACCCCCTGTCTCAGAGGCTTTACTTCTGTAGCTGCTGCAGGCTTCGGAAACTCTGCAACCAGAATTAAAGTCAGGAAGGACAAAACGAGCACTTTCTGAGAAACAACAGCTGCGTGTTTTATTATAGGTCATCAACAACCAGATCACATGCACAGTTCAGCTGAAGACATGTGAGGAACAGATCCATATATCATGCCTGACGTTCTTTTTTCTTCTTCTACTTTTGGCTTTTCCCTCTTCAGTGGTCGCCACAGCAAGTCATCCTCCTCCACCTCACTCAGTGACTCACTCACCTCAGTGACCTCCTCACATTCCTGACGTTCTTTAAAGGAATGCTTATCACCCACTACATTTATTGGTTAGGATCATCTTATTATGGGAAATGGGTAATTTCTACCCAAAATAACTTTATGTATTCTTCTGTGACATCACCAGATGTCACTCTTACATGAGTTATTGTGAATGGTTCTTAGCTACTACCACATCAAATATTAGCTCAGTAGCTGTAAAACTGGTGGGAGTTGCAGCCATTTTGTGTCTGCTGAGGTTGTTTAGCTGTGTGACCATTTTAGAAGTGGGTTTGCTTTAAGATTCGTTTGATGATCTTCTGTCAGATGAGCAGCAGGTCAGCATCAGTTCTGTGTTAAAGCTAACCGTTCACAGCATGAACCCTTCCACATGTTCCCTGATGTTTGTGACGTAGGACTCTAACTCAGAGCATCTTTGTGTGCAGATCCTGCCTGCTGTCAACATGCTGCCGAGTCGTCACCCTGCAAAGAAGCTTGTAACCAGGTACGAAATATACACACAGTGACCAGGTACGAAAATATGCACATGTAGAAACTTTGACCAGGTATGAACAAACATATTGAAGCCAGATCTGAATTTAGGTGTTTTTGTGTCCTGGGTGTCCAGGAGTCCTTGCAGTCCAAAATGAAGGTTGGACTACAAATAGAACAAAATCATAACAATATTCATAATTATTAAAATCATATTTTGCTAAATATTATGATTTTAGGTAAAAGTATTCTTCATTAAGTTTGGAAACCGTGCAGTTGTTGCTATTCAAGAACCGTTTATTGACCTCGAATGTGAACTTGACCTTGAAAACGTCCTGTTCAACTTACACTGAAGCTAAGTGACAAAGCCTCTCTTCAGTAGGTCACTGTACTAAGTAATAAATAGATCGATTTAAAATAAATTTAGGTCAGCAGCCATCCTGAAACCCTTCAACAGTTTTTCAGAAATGTTTGCATGAACATGGTATGGTATAAAGTTTATTCATTTTAAAAAGTACAAAACAATTCCATAACAATATAAAAAGATACAAGAGATTTAAAATGAAAGGCAGCAGAAAGAAGAAAAAATCTTATTATATCCGCCCCTTTTTTCAAACAATTATTTCAATCATAATAATCTTCAAGTAACAGAACAAAATGAATAACTCTTTCTAATTTTTCTAATTCTAATACAAACATAATACAACATCTACTACAACATGAATCTGCATCTAAAAGTGTGCCACTCAAAGTGGCTGCATGTTGGAGTAGCTCTGTTACGTTCATTCTGTTATTGCTACTGAAGACTTTAACTCCTCTTTTTCAGGATGTAAATCACTTTTTTGGATGATAATTTCATCTGGTATCAGATGCTGTGCAGCTTGAGGAAACACATGCTGTGGTTGCTGCTGTGCAGTCCTTGAGCAAGGCACTTTTCCCCATCGTCTGTTCCCTCGGGCACCCTAGATGGACACAACACTGGTCCACATTTCTGTGTTATCAGTGGTGACGCGTAATAGATGTGACTTATATGGTGTCATGACTTCTTTATGTTTTTTCCACTTTATTGGACATATTTGGACCGATGCAACTTATACGCCTGTGCAACATGTACGGCAGCAAGTACGGTATATACTGTCTATATGCATTGCTGTGTTGAATTTATTCTTCTGTTTTCAGTTCAAAATAAAAAAAAGCTGGCCTTGTTGCCTCTATAAATTTGTGTTACCTTCAGAACAAGTGGGCGGTGTATCTGCTCAGTCTGTGGCAGCAAACAGAGCTGGGATTGTGACCGTCAAGTATCTTTGGAATCTGTTCATTTCCACAGCCAGAGGATGTTCTGTTAACTGTGGATGAGAAGAGATGATTCACACAAACGGCAGTTCCTTCCAGCTCTGTGACTGTGTGAAGCTGTAAATCTCACTCAGTTTCACGACTCCACACTTTAGACAGAGGGTTAGTGTGTGTGTTTGTGTGTGTTGGGTCAATATGAATGACTTTCTGACATGTTGAATCCATCAGGGTGTGTGGTCCCACAGAGACTTCCAACACAAAGAAAAAACGATGGATGAATTAATCTATCGAAATCCATAAAAAATTCCTTAATTTTTTTTAAACTGTGGTTGTTATTATGGGTATCTAATTTAAGGTCTTAGGTTGTAACAATGTTGTTGTGACTTTAAGGAAAATCATTTTTGATATTTATAAATGAAATGGACAAACTAAAAAAAACCAAACTGAGCAGTTAAACTGATAAACGTGAACGTGGAAAAGTGAATTTGTTTCAGAAGTTTGACGTAAATAATTAACAAAGATCAGTGATGTCTAAGACTTTCCCCATTTAACGAGAAATTAATTTAAAAAAAAAAAACTAGACAAAATTAAAACTACAGAAAACTAAAGACCAAGATTAAACAATGCAAAAGAACCAAATCAAACTTAAAACACAATAAACATAAACTTCTGGTGAGGAAAGAGTTGAGTCAAAAGGAAACCGTTCACGTTTCAACCATCACTTATGATCAGGATGTAGGGATCACGACCAAAAGATCAAGATCCCTGATACAAGCTGCTGAAGTGGACTTCCTTTGGAGGTTTTCTGGGATGTTCCACTGGGAGGAGACCCAGAGCTGGCTGGAGGGATTATATATCCTCTCTGACCTGGGAAGGACTTTTGATCCCCAGGAGGAGCTGGAGGGTGATGCTGGAGAGAAGGATGTCCACTTTTTTCTAGACCTGTTGTTACCAAGATCAGAGATGAAAGAGACCAGCAAAACCTCCAGGACAACAAGAATATATACAGTATATACTGTGCAGAAAAATACTAATAGTAGCATTTTGTACTGTCTCAAAGGTGCCACAGTGCAACGCTTGTCCTTGTCTTAGCAATACCAGTAAGAAGCTTGCTCACTGGAACAGTCCCCATTTCTAGATGGGTGCCGTTTTATCCAGAGAAAATGTTCTAAAGACTCATGCGTTTAATTTTTATTTTTTTTTTAAAGAAAGTTTGTAAGTTAATTTTTCAAACACTATTTTACAGGAAAGTATCCCAGTCAGTGAACTCCCAAACACCATTTGATTGAATTGAACCTACAGATGGGGATGTGAAGTGTGTCCTGCATCATTCAGCCAGTTGTTTACATCCTGACATTCATGACTGTGGTTTGTTGGTTGGTTGAAAATGTTAGGACTTCTGTTTTTGTCCCACAGCTCGCCACCATCAAGAGTGAGTCACGTCTAAAACATCTTCTCCTGAGGTTACCCAGTTACTGTCCAGAGTCCATGGTAAGTCCACGGCACACTCACAGGCTCATCTAGGACAGGGATTTCCTGCAGGACTCTACAGAGTTCTTTAAATTCAGATCATCTGTGCAATCTGGACTGAAAACAAGAATACTTCTCCCTTGTAGAGGTCCTTTCACTAAGGACATAAGACATACAGTTGATTTATACTGCTGAACAATATTTTAGGGAAAGGCTTACTCTGAAAACAAGAATGTCTGCTGATCTGTCTGCTGAGCACAGACGATATTTTGGCACATGGACCCTTAAAGATAAGCACCGATTGTAAAACAAGTCATTTAAAAAGAGAAACCTTGACACACTATATGTGTTCTGTATCATAACTGTCATGGCTGCAGGGCTGGGTCAGCTGTAGCTGCAATGCTCTTCGATGGTCAAAACTCTCCAAACACTGGTAAGCTAGCAACAGGATCAAGGTTGTGCGCTTATTGGCATAAATACAGGGAATGAAGGTTGGCCCATGAAGTCCAGTCCAAAGGAAGACTTTTGGAACAATCTGTCTGCAGAACAGTCAAAGGGCCATGCTGACCTGCATCCACCAAGACATAAAAACTCTGTTACTTATGTCTTTAGCCAGTATTTCACTGGGCTGCATCTGTCATTAACTTGCTGTCAAACAGCATTCACAAGCAGGGCTTAATTTAAGCCAGATCCTGCCAGAACTCTTATTTTGACAGAGTGTGTTCCAGCCACTGTTTGCTTGGATCTGGTAACTCTCAGGCTTACTAATAATAAAGTAAAGAACACATATGACTGCCTTGAATGAATAAATCTTATATTGCATATGTAAACTGAAAATAATTACATAAACACTCATTTTAAACACAATAGTCACGAGCATAGGTGCTGCCTCTTCAAGTTGAATTTCCTCCAGAGGGAAAGAAAGCATCTGTCTTTGTCGAGAGCAAGTCAGAAGAAAATAAATAAATAAATTTAAAAAAAAAATATATATATATATATATATATATATATATATATATATATATGGTGTTGAACGACTACACAATTTTTAAAGTTGACATTAACATAATAAAAGTCGAGTAGAAGTCGAATAGTTGATGATGTCATAGGATCTCAAGATGCAATAAATATATAAATAAATAAATAAAACCGCAAAAAAATGTAATTTATTATTTACCAAAAAAAAGACCAACAAAACATTGGGAGAGGATATTATGCTCCAACCATTTATCATACTGCAAATAAGTCGCAGGAAAAACTAAACTATTAGTTTTATTATTATTATTAAGCTGCAAAAGTGAAAGAAACGTGCAGCACATAACAAACGAAACTAAAAACAGTGGGGCGGACGACCACCCCGCATTAGGTTTAGTTTTACAGATTAATATGTTTATAGTTTTTTTATAGGTTGTAGTGAACTTAATCTAAGGTCAAAACTCTTGACCTTAAGAACCTTGTGGGACAGGAACTGTCATTTCGTTGATTTGAATCCAGAAATACAGGTTCACCCATCCTGAGACTTTCTTTCTTGAAAGTTCAAGTGAAAAGAACACTCTCTTTTTTTTATCATTACTATTTTACAAACGTTGATAATTAAAGTGTCTTAGTTCAAACCATTTTAGATGTTGCAGTGAACTAATCAACTTTATTAACGGTGAAACAGTGTAATGATTTTTGATTGCTTATGCAGAGTTAGAATTCATGTTAAGGTCTGTTACAGATTTTTATGCATTTTCTGATTTCTGCTTTTGAATGAGCAAAGTGTGCGTTCCAGGGTCAGGAGTCGATTCAGACATGCGTTGGAACAACTGTCCTGTTTATATCCTCTCAGACGTCAACAGGGGGGGTTTTGGCACCTGTTTCTTAAACTCGCCAAAACAAAACTCTCTCTCTGTCTGTGAGAACATTTCTGATCTGTTCCATAACAATTCTTGCTGCCTTCTAACCTTTTACGTCACAAAACACACCCCGTCTGGTCGGTTCTGGCCAATGGGGAGACTCCCGAATGGACCGGGAAAAGAGCTCTTTAAAATGTCGGTACTTCCTGGTCTAACCAGTTCTGTGAGGGTTCTACTCGGTTCGGTTGAGTTCAGTTCTGTTCAGTTCTGTGCGGAGAAGCCCAGTTCTGGGAGCCGGGAAGATCCTGACATGACAACAGAGCTCTTCCGAGTTTCATGGGATTATAACATTTTCCACTGAGGTGAGCTGTGAGGGACAGAATCTCGCCGCTACTCCGGACGAGTAACAGCATCCTACGGAGACGCTGAATGGGTGCGTTAAACGGAATCTCGCCTGAGACATCTCCAGGTAAAAGAGTCGATTTCACCACCTAAGTGTACTGTAAGGAAGAAGCTGAAGAAAGCCCGGAGAGTGCCGTTCTGTCAACACTCCCTCAAACACCATCTTACTCCCTCTAAACTTCTTTCCCATCTTTAAACTCTTCTATCAAGTAGATATTCTTCCAGATATTTTAGAAATGTCTGCGTAAAGTGCTCATCCACATCCGTGTGGGTAAAAGATCATAATTGTACAGTTTTCATAAATGTCTGTGGTGACGCAACGGAAAAATCATGGCCGTATGATTTTTCCTGAGTGATTGCTTATGTTGTTATTTTCATAATTTGCCAAATTAATGTAAATGTTTGATGTTAAACTTTGATTCTGTAAATAAATGACCGCATTCATTTTGATGGGTCAAATATAAATGACGTCTCACGTTTGCATTTCATTAAATTCAATGCACGTTTTATTCAGTTCAGAAAAATGAGGAATCCGTGTTAATTGATGAATATATCTGAGCATCTGTTCATCTACATTCTGGTGGCCCGTCACGTGCTCATAAATGACTGTGTATTCGTGTATTCGTTACATGTTGGCATGAAGAAAAGTAACAGTTTATCAGCTGTGCTGAAACGCAGCTCAAGCTGCGCCGCTTTGAAGTCAAAACATTGCATGTTTACGCAGCGTGCTGGAGCTGCGCGCTTGGAACATGGCTCTGCATGTTTACGCTGTATTACGCTGGCGATGTTATGAAAGCTGAAATAGTGTCATATGTCTTGTGAAAGCTGAAATTGTACGCCTGTTATGGTAACTAAAAGCTGGGTTGTGGAAACACTCTATTCTGTTTAAAGACGGTCCAGACGCGGTTCTGGCCCGGCTCGGTTCTGAAAAAGGTTCGGACGAGTTTTTTAAATAGCTAGAAAGACGTTTTTGAGACCGGAGTAGCAGACTCCGTGCAGCTCAGAGTTGATTCGTTACATTTTTAACAGAAAAAGTGCATTTTGACAGTTTAAAAGACGATAAGTGGACGAACTTATTTCATGCTAATCTAACATGCTGGTTGCTACTAACGCTTCGTGGTTGGTTGATTTTCTGTTGTGGAGCGCTCTGATTCGCTGAGAAGTCGAATGACGTACCTACGTAATTTCCTCTCACCCCTGCGCTGCTTTGTCATTGGTGATTTCAGTCACGTGACCCGGAAATGGAAACTCGTTTTCATAGGGAATAAAATCTGCTTTTTAAAGCTGAAAAGCGCTTTAAAGCTGTGTTCTGAAACGCTGTTTAGGTTCTTCGAAGTCTAATTGCTAAAATTTTGCCACGTTTGTGTAAAAAATCCGTTCAGAAATGTTGGTTTTAACCGAGTCTAGCCGATGCTAATTTTGAGCTAACAGCTAACGACCGGACGCCACAGGAAGTCATAGCGACCCCTACTGGACAACACTAACAGTGTCTGAGTTAAAATTAATAAGGTTGTACTGACACCTTCTGGATAAACGTGAGATAACAGGTTTTCACTTCGCTTTTTAGGTATTTTGAGTGGAATTAAACGTTTTTATTGCCGTAAGACGAACTTTGAGTCAACAAACTTCCTCGAGCTGAATTATACTGTTATGTTATCTTACCATTAAAAGTCAGTAAAGTATTTACGCCCAGCGAGGCGTTTACTAAGAATTTTTTCATTCACTGATAAATCCTAAAGCAGGTGCAAAATGAAAAAATTAGAACTTTTGGTAGAAACAGAGACAGATAATCATAAGAGCTGAAAGTTTACTCGGTCGCTGGAAATATAGTGCACGTTTATTTGTTAAACTCACTAAATAAGAGTAAATACATCAGTAGAGAGAAATTCTTCTGATTTTATTTTACCACCTATACATTTACATCTCCTATTTAATTTCTAAATAGCAGATAATGGCGGACGAAGAGGTAAACACTGACCCCTTTCAATCCAGAGATGCCGTCCAGTCGGCTTTATATATTTTAACAAATTCAATTATTGGTACTCAATTAACGCAATTAGAAGACCTTGATGATAATCAAAGAGGGGAGGAACTGCAGAGGTTGGCAAAAGAAGCTAAAGTGTCAGAGGACTCAAAATCGAGCCGTGAACGGTTAGCAAAAATTTCCCTGCTTCTGAAAGCGGAATTGGACCATCAGGTGGAACAAAATGACATGCTGTTCAGCGGATATCAATCTGAAAAGGACAGGTGTGACGTATTGATTACTGAATCTGAATTGCAGAAACAACAAAGTCAGACTGATAGGGACCTCTCAAAGAAAGAGCTGTCAGAACAGGCTCAATCATATGAGGAGAGATTTAGGGATAAAGAACAAGCGTACCGAGCCGTGTGTTCAGGTAACGATGTGCTACAAGAACAGTTGCAGGTCGCATTAAAGGAGCTGGACGTTTGCAAGGCAGACAAGGCGATGATACTCCAACGATGGCTGAATTTACAAAGAGAATGTCAGACATCACAGGAGCGCCTGACAGCTTGTGAGGAGAAACTAGCTGCAGCTACAAACCAGATTTCTGATATGGGGCGGGCTGGTCTGAGACTCAGAGACGAACAAGGTCAGGGCCCGGGTCAGCCACAACCACCCCAGACAGATGCTGTTACACCTCCTCCCCTTAGCCCCGTTCCAACACCCCCGCCTCGGGGGATAAGGACGGGTCTGCACCCACTTGCACCTCCTCCTCCTAACGCCTTGCAGCCACCTCCACCCCCATCACGGGTGGTAGG